TGCATCCCCACCCTCATCATCACCACCACCAGCATCATCAATATCAGCATGAGCACCACCATCAGCATCATCATCATCGTCATCGGCGGCATCATTATTAGCATTATCACCAGCACCATTATCATCACCATCGCCATCACCATCATCATCAGCATCGACGCCGTCATCTGTATCGCCATCGGCATCAGCATCACCACCAGCATCATCAGATCCATCCTCATCGTCATCATCATCAGCAGCAACATCATCACCATCGCCATCATCATCATCGTCACCCGCAACACCAGCATCGTCATTGCAATCACCCGCATCCTCCTCACAAGCAGCAGCAGCAGCAACACCATGATCAGGATCACCATCAGCATCGGCACCATTTACATCAGCATCATCATTCAAACCATCATCATCGTCATCATCATCGGCATCGGCATCCTCATTAAAAGCAAAGGCACCAGCAGCATCACCGTCATCAATAGCATCATCGCTGGCATGGCCAGCATCGTCATAATTAGCAGCATCATCCACATCATCATCATCGCAACCATCCTCACCCGCATCATCGTCATCACCATACGCATAGCCACCAACAACATCGCCATTGCCAACAACATACACGTCATTGACGTCGGCACTGTCATCGACAGCATTGTTGTCGTAATCCTCCTACACCGAAGCATCATCATCATCATCATCATCATCAGCATCACCAGCATCAGCATCACGTCCCTCATCAGTATCAGCATCATCATCACCGTCATCGTCATCGTCATCGTCATCGTCCTCGCCATGACCATCATCGACGTCATCATCGTCAGCAGCACCACCCCCGTCTATATCATCATCACGCGCATCATAACACCCATTATCACAACTGGCAACACCACGATCACCGTCGTCGTCGTCACCACCATCATGATCGTAACATTAGAACTATTACACATCATCATCACCACCATCACCACAACCAACATACCATGATAATCGGCACAAGTGTCGGCATCATCATCAAAATGGCAGTCGTCCCCGTCGTCATCACCAGCTCTGCCATCATCATCATCATCATCATCAGCTTCATCATCATCACCATCGTCATAATCATCACAACCATGGTCGCCATCAACCTTCTCCTGGTGAACATCAGCAACCTCACTGTCATCATCATCGCCATCATCGTCGCCACCATGGTCACCCTCGTCATTACCATCAGCATCATCATCATCAGCAGCATCATCATCCTCACCATCTTCATATTTAGCTTCACCTCCAGTATCATCTGCATCACAATCTCCGTCATCCGGATCATCACCATCAATATTCGCATCATGTCCCTGTCCCTGTACCTCATCTGCCTCTCCTACTGCTCCTTCGTCTCCCTGGTGACTCGGAACTGGCCGGTACTGATCATGATTACCTTCATCAGCACCATCGTCCCCGCCATCAAAACCATCACCAAAACCACCACCACAACCACCACCACCGCCAGCATCATCATCATCATCATCATCATAATCATCACCATCAGCATCAGCTTTAGCATCATCATCAGCATCAGCATCAGCAACAGCATCTTCGCAAACATCATCATCACGAGCATCATGATCATCATGACCATCAGCATCAGCATCATCATCATGATCAACATCATCATCAGCAGCAGTATCACCATCATCCCTAACATCCTCTGCAGCGCCAATAACATAATCATCCGCATCGTCGGCCGACAAATCATCATCACCATCATCAACGTCAGCAGCATGGTCATCGTCAGCATCGTCACCGTCCCCACCACCACCAACGCCATCAGCATCATCACCACCACCATCACCATCATCAGATCAGCATTCGCATCATCAGAATCAGCATCGGTATCGACATCAGCACCAACATCGGCATCATCATCATCATCATCATCATCATCATCATCGCAACCATCATTATCATCGTCATCTTCATCGGCATCGGTATCGCCATCGCGTCTTCGTCGTTTTCATGATCGGCATCGTCATCGTCATCGTCGCTGGCAGCTGCAGAAGACGCAGCGTCGATACCATCGCCAATCACCACCGCTCACGTCACCATCACATAGTCATCGCCACCATCAGCATATTTTTGACATCCACGTCACACCTCCACATCCTCGGGTAAGTTCGAGGGCCAGAGCCAGCAGCGGAGGGGGATGCTGGCTCCCTGACACAGACCAATAGTCTGAGTCATCACCAACATCATCATGTTCAGAATCCTTCTCCTTCTCTCTCCGCCCCCTGACGCCGCGGGCGCCAAGGCGGCCTGTTCCGCCGAAGCCCGCGCCGCGCGCCCGCGCGGCGCGACCCGAACTGCTTCCGAAGGCTTCCGAGAGCATCCAGGAAGCTTCGGAAAGCGGGCCCAGGGACACACTCCTACCTCAAGAGAACCCCCCCCCCGAACCAAAATGGCTACGGCTCCGCCCCCTCCTCATCCTCTGGCACTCTCCCACCACCTCCCCCCCCACCCGGGGCGTCGCCTCCACCGCGACGCGCTCCAGCTTCAGCTGCTCCTCTTCCTCGGCGGAGAAGCGGGACCTGGGACGAGGAACGGTGACTGCGCCAAAAACGAGCACATCCTCCCCCTCCTCCTTTCGAAATGTCCGTTTCCTTCCTCCGCGACCCTCTTCCGCCTCATCCGTCGTGATCCCCCCTACTCCTCCTCCTCCGCCTCCTCCTCCTCCTCCTCCTCCTCCTCCTCCTCCTCCTCCTCCTCCTCCCTCCTCCTCCTCCTCCTCCTCCTCCTCCTCCTCCTCCTCCTCCTCCTCCTCTCCTCCTCCTCCTCCTCCATCCTCCTCCTCCTCCTCCTCCTCCTCCTCCTCCTCCTCCTCCTCCTCCTCCTCCTCCTCCTCCTCCTCCTCCCTCCTCCTCCTCCTCCTCCTCCTCCTCCTCCTCCTCATCCTCCTCCTCCTCCTCCTCCTCCTCCTCCTCCTCCTCCTCCTCCCTCCTCCCTCCTCCTCCTCCTCCTCCTCCTCCTCCTCCTCCTCCGCTCCTCCTCCTCCTCCTCCTCCTCTCCTCCTCCTCCTCCTCGCTCCTGCCTCCTCCTCCTCCTCCTCCTCCTCCTCCTCCTCCTCCTCCTCCTCCTCCTCCTCCTCCCTCCTTATCCTCCACCTCATCCTCTTTACCCCTTACTCCATACTCCATACTCCATACTCCTCCTCCTCCTCCTCCTTTTCCTCCTCCTCCTCCTCCTCCTCGTTCCTCCTCGTCCGACGATGATAAAATCGGGTGAGGATAGATCGGGAATATCTGAGGTCCAGCGGTTCCTCAGGACATCTTGGTTCTCAGAGCGACCCAGAACGCCGTGAGACCGTTCCGGAGCGCTCTGGAACGGACTTATCCTCGTCCTACCCTCAGGTCGGGCATATCCTCCTACGGACGGATTTGGGACGAAAAATCAAAATAGACAAAACATGATTTAAAACACCATCAGAACATGAACAAGCGTCCCCCAAAAAATGTCTCTGACTAGTTTTGCATCTTCCTCCTGCTGTAGCGGGACGCGCCCGGACTGAATCCTATAGCCCCGCTCGACCACGCCCCGAGGGCGCGGGAGGCGGGGCTTGGGAACCCCCAAACCGGGTGGTGAGATACCAGGTGGCGACCTGGAATCCCCAAAAAGGTCACCGCTGGGTTTGGGGACGCGGGGTCACCACCGGGTTTTGTGACTCCTGGACCCACCAGTGTCCGGGACATCCTCGGAAAACCGCATGAGTCCCCAAACCGGGTGGTGACACCAAATCGCCCGAGACTCACTGCCAGGTGTTGTCACCACCACGTTTGGGGACTACCAAGGGGCGCACCTTTCGACGCGCGCTGGTGGCTTGCCCCCCGGATCGACACCGGGCGGCTCCGGGACCCCCCCTCGGGGGCCCGGCGGCTGCCCCCTTTGGGGCAGGCCCTGCACCCCGAGGCGCTGTTTTGGGGCGCTGCTCCACGGGGAAGCAGGAGGAGGAGGATGTCCAGGACTTCCAGGAGGAGGATTTCCAGGAGGAGGAGGAAGAGGAGGAAGCAGGAGGAGGAGGAGGATTCCCAGGACAGGAGGAGGAGGAAGCAGGAGGAGGAGGAGGCAGGAGGAGGAGGAAGCAGGAGGAGGCAGCAGGAGGAGGAGGCCTCCTCCTCCTCCTCCTCCTCCTCCTCCTCCTCCTCCTCCTCCTCCTGCTTCCACGAGGAAGCAGGAGGGGGAGGAGGAGGTCCAGGACTTCCAGGACTGACAGGCCGAGCTCGGGTTGGGGGAGACTCGCCGCGAGAGATCTTGCAGAGATGCTCGCAGCGAGTCTTCGAGATGGGCTGGGCGCAAGGCTTCGCAAGACCCATGAGCTGGTCTTGGCCGAAAAAGCCACAGGAGCGACAGAACCATACTCGAATCGCCTCATGGAAGTACATAGCATGCGAGGGGTGGGCCCAACCTCCAACGATGTGTAAATGTCGTTCCTGGGGAGACCCGAGCACCCCACCATCGACAGCCTCTGGAGGCACACACACTCACGTTTTAGACAGGCACCCATCTCAGCTTTCGAAGTCGTAGACCTACACACGCGACACGAGCGCCCACCCTTCACCAGGACTCGCGGGGCCGCGAAGCGTGCAAGAACGAGAGGGCAGGAGGAGGAGGAGGCAGGAGCCTCCTCGGCTGACTCGTGCCTGGCTCGATCCTTCTCGGCCACGCCTTCGGCTTGCGGCACCTGGAGCGCTGCGCGCAAAAGCCTGCGTCGGACCAAGACTGCTTTTTCTCTCTACAACGCGCACTGACAAACAATCATCTGGCGCAACTCGGGCGCCCTCGACCGCGTCGCCCGCCAGATCGTCCACGGCGGCGTTGCCCTGCACGAGCCACGTCGGGATCTTCCTCTCCAGAAACTCGTGCCCCTCGGCGTGCGACGGCCCCTGCAGCACAATGATACACTCGGGCGGCCTGCCCTGCTGACGGCTGACCCATTGCACGCCACCTGTCGGCATGCTCGCCCGTAGGCTGCTGAGCCAGCCCCGCCCACCAGCCAGTGCTGACCTCCTCGCAATCCGTAACGTAGATGGCCCACTTTTCGATGAAACGCACAACCAGCTCGAGTGCTGCGATCTCGCCGCACGGGACCGTCTGAGCTCGCCCTGGGAGAGGGCCCATCAGATGCTACCCCAACTGGATCGGGGAGGAGGCCTCCGCAACCGTCACGACGACGCCGACACGGCGCAGACGAGGATCGCGCGCGCGCCCTTGCTTCCCGACGCGTCGCCGAAGACAGTGAACGGCGCTGACTCAGATCCTCGCCCAAGACAGCCCACCTCGAGCTCCCAGTTCACGCACCCTGTCTGCCGCTGCTCACTAGCCGCCGGAGCCGTCACATTCGACTGAATCGACAGGATAATGCAACGTAGCCAGAAACATGGGAAAGCCTCGGACTCAACGATGGCCTTTCGGCACGCGGTCGTTGGAGCCCTGAAGGCACGACTGTTGCTGTCGCCGCTGCAGAGCCAAGGGCGGTTCAGCGCCGTCTCGTCGCGCTGGCCGCATCTGTCGCGCGCTCCGCTGTCGTGCAAACCTGCCTCGCAGCGCCACCGATTGGCCCACGACCCGCCAAGGGCGAGTGCCACCATGAGCTGGGCGAGCTGGCGGCCGCGATGCACGCGCTGCAGTTCGCATAACAATTTCCGCAGTCTAAGAAGGTCAGCCCTCCCCTGGAGACCACCTCCGCAGAAATACTCTGCCGCCGCGCGCCACTGCGCGCCCGCAAGTGAGGCCGCGAACTCCGAGATGAGCAAGACGGCCTGGCCCGTAGAACTCGGCACTGCCGAAACTCCAGCCGTGACGACCTTGAGAGACGTCGCTCGTCGCATCCCACTCGGTAGCCGAAACAGGACTCCAGCCCGCGCGCAACAGGCGCGCGATGGCTGCAGACACAGGTCCGCGAACGCGACGGGGGCGATCCGCCTCCGACACAGTGGAAAGCTGCTCGACGATTCGCGGCCACACGCGATCACACCTGGCCTGGTCAACGCTTCTGAGAACCAAAATTGAAACCATTGCTCCATACAGTGCTTGGGCAACACAAGCACCAGGTCGCCACAAGAAACACGAAAAACCAAAAGCGTCGCGGTGCACCGTCCGCTTCGCAAAGGGGCCCGCGGCCGCGGCAAAACGGCGACGTTGGATCACCCTACCGCCGCCATGGACCTTGTGCACCAGGCGCCCATAGGTGGGGGCGGCCTGCGGACCAACACGTTGAATTTCGCGCCGTGGAAGCGAAACGCTGCGACGCCCGAGCAAAGCGCTTCAACTTCTCGCGTTGGGCACCGCCCTTCGCCGCCCTCTTGCGACCCGCGTCACGAGACTGCCTCTTGACGCTACCGGGTCCACGCCCAGGCAGGCCGTCTGCAGCGCGGCCATGACGTAGATCGACTTTCGACGTAAGGCCTTCACAATGAAGTGGGTATCCTCTGGATGCGAACACGCCAAGACACTCTTTGGCGAAAGATTCAGCCGCTGCTGTCAGCGAAAACGCGATGTCGCCGCGATGTGTTGGATCAATGTCGCTCGAACATGCTTCCTCGAATCTTACACTCTTTGGTATAAACCATATACTCGCGAATTCTGAAAGTGTAGAGCAAGCAATGCACAATTCCTGAACCACCAAACAAGTCAGGCATCTCGCAAAACGCGTTCCGTCGCCCAGGCGCTGCAACACTGATCTGGCCCGCTGGGCAAAAACGACAAAAGACGCCAGCTGTCTCAGCATCCTCAGGCACCACGCGCAGAACTGTAACTCGAGGAACACTCGTCACAGCTCCAACGGCACGTCGATGCCATTTTTTCCAGAGCACCCCATATTTTTTCGACGTAGATCACATGCGCGCCAAATGCGTCGCCGCACAGCATGCTTCGATGATGTCAGGCGCGCCTAACGCACGGCCTGGGAATCCATCGACCTTCGTTACGCAGCCAACGGCAAGTTCACTGGGGGCTATAGTTCAGACTTCTGTTTTTTTCCCCCCCGAAATTGTTTGTGGAGTTGTTTATTTGTGTGTTGTGCTTGCATGTGCACATGATGGCTTGCGCATGGCCGTCCAATATATCGTTTCGCGGCGGTGGTTGTTCTCGACAGCCCCGCCGCGTTCCGTCGCGCTGGCCGCGCGCCTTCGATGTCGTCTGCGCGGCCCGCGCGCTCTACTGCGGGAATGGGTCTTGGCCGAACAGAGGCCATACGCACGCGCGTGCACATTGGGGGCAGGCGCTTCGGTCGAAAGTGCGCCTCGGTCCTGCTCAGGAAAGCCCCGGGTGCCGACGCCCGGCGCCGCCCCCCCCGCCCTCCTCGCACCCCCCTTTTCCCTCCCTCGCCTTTCCTCCCTGCCCTCTGGTCTCCCGTCCCCGTCGCCCCCCCCCCCCCCTGCCCCTCTCCCTTTTCTGTCTTCGCCTTCCATCCCTGCCCCTCCCCTCGCGCCCTCCCTCTCGCTCCTCTTTGCCCCCTGTCCCCACCATTCTCCAGCTATTTACCTCCGTGCCCTTTTCTGCAAGGTTCCTGTCCTGCTTTCCATCGTCTGCGCCCGCTACCTGGACCCCCCCTGGGGAACGTTGCAGGGGGCCGCTCTCGCTGCGAACCTGGCGGGTGGCGCCCGAATCGGCCCATAAACTCACGCGCGCATTGGAAGCGCAAAAACCATCATCATCACCCATCCCCCCCGACCCTTTTCCCCCCTCATCTTGCTATTCGTTCTGCCCGACATCCTTGCCCAAACCTCCTTGCCTCTCGTTTCCTCCACTTTCTCTCCTCTCCTGCGCCACGCTTCTGTTTTCCCCCCCCCATTACCGGCCCGGGGGCTTGCTCGCGGACGCTCGGGGCGGGGCGGGGCAGCGAACCCGAATCGGCGCATAGGGCGGCCGCGAGCGGGGCCTCTTTGGGAAGGCCAGGCCCTCGCGGACGCGCTTCGGTCGAGCGCGCGCCTCAGTCCTGCACGGGAGGGCCCTGGAGACCGACACCCGGCGCTGCCCCTCCCCTGCCCCCCTCGCCCCCCTCTTGTCCCTCTCTTGCCCTTCCTCCCTGGCCTCTCGTGTTTTTTTTTGTTTTTTTTGTTTTCTCTCTCTCTCTCTCTCTCTCTCTCTCTCTCTCTCTCTCTCTCTCTCTCTCTCTCTCTTTATTTCTCTCTCTTTTTTCTCTCTCTCTCTCTCCTCTCTCTCTCTCTCTCTCTCTCTCTCTCTCTCTCTCTCTCTCTCTCTCTCTCTCTCTCTCTCTCCCTCTCTCTCTCCCGGCCCCTGTCGGCCCCCTCTTCTCCGCCCCCCCTGCCTGGCCCCCCCTTTCCCTCTCCGCCCTCGCCCCCCCCCCCCCGCCGACGGAGGGGGAGCGGGGGGGGGGTGGAGGGGGGGGGGGGGGGGGAAGGGAAAGGGGAGGAGTGGGAGGGGGGCCTCTACTCGGCCAAGACCTATGCCCACAGCAAAGTGCGAGGGCCGCGCAGACGACATCGAAGGCGCGCGGCCAGCACGACGGAGCACGGCGGGGCCGTCCAAAAGGCCAATAACTCTGCCCCCACTCTTTTTGCTCAAGAAGCGGCCAATCACACTCATGACCTGCCAAGGCCAAGTTAAACCTTCTTCTATCATCTAATAAAACCTGCAGAGCTCCTCAAGCGCGACGTTGGGGAGCCTCTCCACGTCGAGCGGGGGGCAGCTGGTCTATCCCCAGCGCCGCCTTGCCCTTCATCTTGGACAAGGAGGCGCGCAGCTCCCCGACACCGATGGCCTCAAGGGGCTCAATCCCCGCGTGCTCTCGAATGAAGTTGCAGATGTCCTCGACAATGCCGTAATATAACGAATCCGAGCGGCACAACTTATGATGTTTCTGCACCGTCTGATCAATGATGCCCAGCGGGTGGACGAAACAATGCTGACCGAGGTGCGGCTCGTCGGGGGCTGGCTGGGGAACCCTCAAACTCTTGTGAACGACACCGACTACGGGAGTCGAAGCGATCCACTCTTGGAAATCCGTTTAAAGACACTGAAACTGCACGGGACTATGCTGCCCTGGTCCCGTGAAAGAACCAGGCCTCCAGAAACCTGACACGCTCGATTCTCGTCTGCCCCACGGCGAGCAGATATTGCTGCAAGTCCAACCAGCGACCAACACTGCATCGTGGTGGGCGCTTTCTGGCCGTACCGTTCGGGAATCGGTACACTACAATAGTTATACTATGTCATCGGGTCGGACGCGCACCTCCGAGGGAACGTTAGTACTAGTATGTATCGGTGCGTCCCAGAAGGGGTTCCTGAGGTAATTGGTGTCGCTGCTTTCCGCCCCTCCGGGCGCCTCCTGGCCCCCAGGGTCGTCAACAAGCTAGGGCGTGCCATAAATTGGCGGCGCGCAGAAGGGGGTAGGGGGAGGGGGGAAGCCTTCTGAAAAAAACAGGCTGTGTCTTAAAGGCGCCGGCTTTGCATCTATGGATAAGGCCCGCGCCTTCTAAGAAGCAAGGGTGTTTCTGAGAAGCCTTTCCCCCTTTTTTCCCTACCCCCCTCTGCGCGTGGCCGAGTAAAAATGGGGCGAGAAAATAGGGGAGGGGATCGAGGGCTGCAAGAAGGGGACCCTGCGCAGAGGGACCCTGAAGGAGCCCCCATCTGCGGCTGCACGGCCAGACCCCGGACAGAAAAACAATCCATCAAGAACATGAGACCCTCCGCTGGCCCGACCGAAGAGCATTCGAGGGCGCCCTCGCCCCCAGATGCTCAAGACCACCCAACAGGTACGACGGTGATGAGTTGTTTTGCAGATGTCCTGAGGCAGCCCGCCGAGGCAGGCAGCAGGGAGGACCCGAGCAGCATGGACGATCCAGGCGTCCCCCGCCACGTCCGCGTCTGCTTTCGGCGAAGCGCCTCGTGAGGACGTTAAAGGTTGTTTTGAGGAGCCCGAGGGTGAGGAGGACCCTCGGACCCAGGAGCCGTTGTCCCAACCAGCAATGCAGGTCGAGAGGACCAGTCCAGGTCGAGACCGGCGGTTCTCTCTGGAGCCACAGCATCGGCCCATTATAGTAATTCAACAGATTTCCAGTCAGCAGCCTCGGCTGGGGGGAACGTCGGGCCCAACCAAGCGATCGTCCGCAAGAGCTTGACCCCAGTGGAGCTGGCCAAGGCACGTCCAACTCTGCTGCCACAGCTGCTGCTTCCCCGTCTTTCCCCATATCTGCCTCTGCTTGGTCCGCAATTTCGACTCGAATCGGTTGGCCTCAACCCTCTCTTAACAAAGATTTTCCGGATGTGCGCCAGTCGCTGGCATTCAAGGTGGGTCGACAGCACATCCAGCCGATAAGCAATAGATACGCAGCCTGGATAGCGACGGTGGAGAGGGCGATTGCGCGCCATCACGGACAGGACCCCCCCACGGCAGATGCGTGCTCGAGGGTTTCAGCTAGTCATGGTTTCTGTCCATCAGGAAGTTCATCTTCGCGAACGGCCACTGCACGACGCGGTGGCAAGCTGGTGGTCGTGTTCGGAAGGACGGACCATTTCAGACTCAGCACCTGTGCGCCGCAGCAGCACGGATTGGTAGCAGTGCCCCCGAATGTGTGTATAGTGATGCAACCGAGGAGTCGATCCTATACGAGTGTCCGTAGGTAATGGTGAGAGGGGAGGAGGTTAGCTACTCCTTAGGTAAATTTACCGAGGTAAATTTACCAATACCAGAACCGATACGTTAATGGCATATGACGATATAATGGTGACGTGAACGGACTTCACACACACACACACACACACACACCGCGGGTGCATGAAACAGCCAATGTTGCATATACTATAAAAGTTCTCGGTGCGCGCGTCGCCCCTGTGCGGGCGACGCACACTTAGTCTTCATATGCTGGGGTGCCGCCGACCTGCGCCCCTCACCACACTCCGCTCGTCCCCGCGGCGGCCCTGGAGCGTCGACCCTCCGGGGTGGCCCTCCTGGGGCGCCCCCTGGCCAGCATCTCGATCGGAGCCCCGGCGAGGCCAGGAGGAACCCCCCCTAAGGGCCTTCCACCCGAAACAAAGAACCGACAAAAGTTATGTCGTCCCCATCGTACTTTGAAGGATCACATCCCAGAAATGATTTCGAACACCCAAGAAAATATCGAAACAGTGCCGAATGAGTATCGCTTCCCAGCGCCTGACACGTGAGAACCATCCAGTTTCGGTACTTCCTTGGTGCTCGAAGTTCTTTCTGGCGGTCAAGACTAAAGTAGGCTGGGACAACGTAAGCCAAACTCTCGATCATCGAAACCTCGAGCCGTCCTCCCCGAACCGCGCGCCCCCGGCCCCGGCGGCCAGAAGCTGACGCACAGGGGTCGCGTGTTCAGCATCTCGCGGTTGCTGTAGCTGTCTGGGCTCATCGACGCGAGCACCGTGGCGGCCAGGATCTCCCCCACCCCCCGGGCAGCGCGTCGGGGGTGGACGGACACGACCGCCTCTGGACGACGACGGCGACGACGACGACGACGACGACGACGACGACGTCGACGACGACGACGACGACGACGACGACGACGACGGCGGCGGCGACGACGACGACGACGACGACGTGGTCGCCTGAGGCTTCTGGACGCTCGTTTGTTTCTGTAGGCTTTGTCGTCACAGCCGGACGCGGTCGTCTCCGAAGGTCCTGAGCCACCGCCTCTGGCAAGTCCCGTCGCCACAACTGGGAGCGGCTCGGAAAAACTGGCCAAGATAGACTCTGGGGGGGGTCTGGAGGCCGATGTTGAGCGAACTCCGGAGCGCGCAAACGTCAACGACGAGGACGAAGACGACCACGATGACGAGGTCGAAGGCGGCGGGAAAAAAAGACGACGGCAAGGAGAAGGGAAGGACAAGGAGGAGATACAGGTGTGTATGCACATATATATGTATATATATGTATATATATACGAAAAGAGACGCGCGCTACGCGCGCGCTTAGGTTCTAGCTTCGTCCGGGGCAACGGCCAAACAACGGACGAGGAGGTTGAAGGCTGAATGCACTTCGATTTTTCGTCGAGTTCCGCGGTCGCGGTTCGAAAAGCTTTTGGGCGCTCCTCACCCCCAGGCGGCCCGAGGCGGCCGAAAACGACACCTCTTCCACGTCTTCCTCTTTCCCCCTGCTCTTGCTCCTCTCCTCCTACTCTTCCTCCTCCCCCGATCGTCCCCTCCTATTCTCCCTTCCTCCTCCTCCGCCCCCTTTCCCCCCCTCCTCCTCCTCTTTTTCCTCTTCCTCATCCCCCTCTTCCTCCTCCTCCTCCTCCTCCGCCTCCTCCTCCTTTTCCTCCTACTTTCCCTCCTCCTCCTCCTCCACTTCCTCCTCGTCCTCCTCCTCCACACCTCCTCCTCCTCCCCCTCCTCCTCCTCATCCTCGTCCTCCTATCCATTCACCATCACCATCATCATCTTCATGTTTCTCCCTCCCTCCTCCTCCTCATCCTCCTCCATCCCATCCCCTTCCTCCTCCTCCCCTCCTCCGCCTCCTCCTCCTCCTTCCTCCTCCTCTCCTCCTCCTCCTTCTCCTCCTCCTCCTCCTCCCTTCCTCCTTTCCATCCTCCTCCTCCTCCTCCTCCTCCTTCCTCCTCCTCCTCTCCGCCTTCCTCCTTCCTCCTCGTCCTCCTCCTTCCCTGCTCCTCCTCCTCCTCCTCTCTCCTCCTCCTCCTCCTCCTTCCTTCCTCCTCCTCCTCCTCCTCCTCTTCTCCTCCTTCTCCTCCTCCTGTTCAGACCACATGGCTCGCCAAACGGCACTGCGACACCGAGCAAGCATTGGGCCACATCGGAGAAAGGGAACACTCGGGGGGGGGCCTTCCTCTTCCTCATCCCCTCCTATTCCTCTCCTTCTCCCACATCCTCCTGCCCCTCCCTCTGCCCCTCCTCCTTCCGCCCGTTCCTCCTCCTCCCCTCCTCCTCCTCCTCCTCACTCCTCCTCCTCCTCCTCCTTCATCCTCGTCCTTCTTCCTCTCCTCCTCCTCTCTCCTCCTTCCTATCCTCTCCTCCTCCCCCTCCCCCTCCTCCTCCTTCCTCCTTCTCCTCCTCCTCCTCCTCCTCCTCCCTCCTCTTTCCTCCTCCTCCTCCTCGTCCTCGTTCCTTAGTCCTCCTCCTCCTCCTCTCCCTCCTCTCGCCTCCTTCTCCTCCCTCAACTCCCCCCCCCTCCCTCCTGCTCCTCTCCTGCCTCCTCCCTACTCCTCACTCCTCCTTAATCTCCCTCCATCATTCATCCTCATCAACAACATCATTCATCGCATCATCATCATCAACAAAAAACATTTCTCTTCTCATCATCATCACCGCATCATAATCATCATCCATCTTCATCATCATCAGCTGCATCATCAACATCATTTCATCTTTCATCATCATCTATCAATCATCATCAATCATCATAATCTTCATCATCATCATATCATCATTGTCATAATCCCTCTTCCCTCCTCCCCCCCCCGTTCTCCCTGCTCGCCCCCCCCCTGATCCCCCCCCCCATCGTTTTCCTCTTCCTCCTCCTCCTCCTCCTCCTCCTCGTCCATCTCCTCTTCCTCCTTTCCTCCCCCCCCTCCTCCTCCTCCACTTCCTCCGCGCGCAAGAAACCCAACAAAATGTTGCGGAAATCAACGAAGTGTGTCCCTACAGGTTTTTTCGGGCGACCTTTTAGGACTGGGCGGGGCCGCCTTAGGGCCCCCTTGGGCGCCCTGGGTTTCCGGAAATCACGTTCCGATAGAGGCTTCGAGGAACATGATTTCGGACGCTGCGGAAAAGGCCTCCCGAACATCTCTATAGGCAGCTCTGCTTGCCCCCGTTGTGGCGCTGTTGGGTGCCTTGTGGGGTTCTCTTGGGCTGGCTTGTAGCTCTCATGGGTCATCTTGGGTCCCTCTTGGGCCGTCTTTGGGCTCCTCGGGGTGGCACTGTGAAGACGTCGTCGTCGTCGCCGTTCGCCGATCGGCGGCGATGACTGCTGTCATCGTCGTCCATCGTCGTCGTCGTCGTCGTCGGTCGTCGCCGTCGTCATCGTCAGTCACCGTCGCCGATCACCGTCGCCGATCGTCGATCGGCCCCGAGCCCTCCCGCCCACTCCTCCTCCTCTCCTCCTCCTCCTCCTCCTCCTCCTCTTCCTCCTCCTCCTAAACTGCCTCCTCTTCCTCTTCCTCCTCCTCCTCCTCCTCCTGAAATCATGTTCCCGGAGACGCTTCCGGGGACAGGATTTCGAACGATGCAGAAAGAATTGGGTCCAGGGTGGCTACGCGCACGCGGACAGCGTCGCCGCCGTCGGCGCGGCCGTCGTCGTCGTCGCCGTCGATCGTCGATCGGCGACGTCGACTGTTGTCATCGTCGTCTATGGTCGTCGTCGTCGGTCGTCGACCGTCGTCGTCGTCGTCAATCACCGTCGCCGGTCGTCGTCGCCGATCGTCGATCGCCCTCGAGTCTCCTCCTCTCTCCCCCCCTCCTCCCTTCCACTCTTCCTCCCCGCCTCCTCCTCCTTCTCCTCTTGCTTCTCATCCTCCTCCTCCTCCTCCTCCTCCTCCTCCTCCTCCTCCTCCTTCGCCCTCTCCGTCTCCTCCGCGCGGAAGAAATCCAACAACATCTCGCGCAAATCAACGAACTATGGCCCTCCGGGCCTTTTTGAACGTCCATTTAGGGCCTTTTGGGTCCGTCTTAGGGCCCTCTTGGGCGTCGTGGGAACCAGGAAATCATGTTCCCGGAGAGGCTTCTGGGAGCATGATTTCGAAAGAGGCCCTCTTGGGCCTCCCTGAGGCCGTGTCGGGAGCCTCCTGGGCCAACTTTGGGGCCTCTTGGGCCGTCTTGGACGTTCCGTGAGCCTCACAGGACGACCCTTTTGGGCCGTCTTGGGCCCTCTTGGGTCTCTCTTGGGCTGTCTTGGGGCTCGGGGGCGTCTGGGGCACTGTGTGGACCAAGCAAGCAAATATGCTGAAAACGTACGTTGTACAACGGGAAAGGGCCGATTTCTGCCTCTTGAAGACCCTCTTCGGCCAGCTTCAAACCATCTCGGGCCCTCTTGAGGCGCTCTTGGACGTCTTGGGGCGCCCTTTGGGCCTCGCTGAGGCTGTCGGACAGCGTCGCCGCCGTCGGCGTGGCCGTCGTCGTCGTCGCCGTCGATCATCGATCGGCGGCGTCGACTGTTGTCATCGTCGTCGATCGTCATCGGTCGTCGTCGTGGTCGTCGTCGTCGTCGTGAATCACCGTCGCCGGTCGTCGTCTCCGATCGTCGATCGCCCTCGAGCCTCCTCCTCCTCTCTCCCCCCTTCCTCCCCTCCACTCCTCCTCCCCGCCTCGTCTAGGGTGGCTCTGCGCACGCGGACAGCGTCGCCGCCGTCGGCGTGGCCGTCGTCGTCGCCGCCGTCGATCGTCGATCGGCGACGTCGACTGTTGTCATCGTCGTCTATCGTCGTCGTCGTCGGTCGTCGACCGTCGTCGTCGTCGTCGTCAATCACCGCCGCCGGTCGTCGTCGCCGATCGTCGATCGCCCTCGAACCTCCTCCTCTCTCCCCCCCTCCTCCCTTGCACTCTTCCTCCCCGCCTCCTCCTCCTTTTCCTCTTCCTTCTCCTCGTCCTCCTCCTCCTCCTCCACCTCCTCCTCCTCCTTCGCCCTCTTCGTCTCCTCCACGCGGAAGAAATCCAACAACAATTCGCGAAAATCAGCGAACTGTGGCCCTCTGGGAATTTTTGAACGTCATTTTAGACCCTTTGGGGGCCGTCCTGGGGCCCTCTTGGGCGTCCTAGGAACCCCGGAAATCATGTTCCCGGAGAGGCTTCCGGGAACATGATTTCGAACAAAGCCTTCTTGGGCCTTCCTGAGGCCGTCTTGGGGGCCTCCTGGGCCTGCGTTGGGGCCTTTTGGGCCGTCTTGGGCTGTCTTGGGGCTCCTCGGGGGCCACTCTGAGGACGAAGCAAGCGAGTATGCTGAAATTGTACGTTTTACATAAGGAATGGGTAAAGTTCTGCCTCTTGAAGGCCCTCTTGGGGCCCTCTTCGGCCATCTTCAAGCCATCTCGAGCCCTCTTGGGGCGCTCTTGGACGTCTTGGAGCCCTCTGGGGCCTCGATGAGGCTGTCTTGTGTGCCTCTTGGGCTGTCACGCGGGCAGCGTCACCGCCGTCGGCGTGGCCGTCGTCGTCGCCGTCGATCGTCAATCGGCGGCGTCGGCTGTTGTCATCGTCGTCGATCGTCGTCGTCGTCGGTCGTCGACCGTCGTCGATCGTCGTCGTCGTCGTCATCGTCGTCGTCGTCGTCAATCACCGCCGCCGGTCGTCGTCGCCGATCGTCGATCGCCCTCGAGCCTCCTCCTCTCCCCCCCTCTCCCCTCCACTCCTCCTCCCTGCCTTTTCCTTCTTTTCCTCTTCCTCCTCCTCCTCCTCCTCCTCCTCCTCCTCCTCCTCTTCCTCCTCCTCCTCCTCCTTC